GCATGCTTTTACTTTCTTCATAAGGTGAAATAAAATGATAATCTTGAAAATATAACAAAATTCATAAAGCTCAAAATTGCTACATTTCATAAAATGAGCACGAGAAGAAAGCTGGTTATAGTCATACAAATAGGATCTTCTACAAATTTCTAATCCCTTTGCAGTCAAATACCAAATGTAGTTTATCGCATTTGCATTACTCAACAAAATCAAACAGGAAGCTCCTTGCCATATATACTCCAAGACTACCTTTTCGATTTTCTTGTTGGGACAAGCTATATCAGTGAAGTGAACTGCTCCAAATTAAATTTTGATGTTGAAGTAATCTGGGTCAAAATGGTGTAATCGTACGTAACCATCCTCTCCACCGCTTGAGAAACTAGAAGTTTCAAAGAAAAAGAGATGAGTGAAAATAGTTCAAGATTCATACACTATGCAGACAACTACAAACTAGAAACCCTCTTGCCCACTTTGGCGGTGATAAACAATGTAAGAGATAACTTACAAATACAATGTAGTCAACATTAGACAACATGATGAAATTACTATATTAATGATGCAATCCAGCTAGCAGGCGATTGCCATATATCTTCACAAGATATGGAAGACACCAACAACTTATGCGAAAGACACTTGACTTCTAGTTGAACATAAGACAGATAAAAAAAGGCACCAAGAAAACTTGCAAATTCAACCTTCCATGAATATAGCTTTGCATAAATAGATCCATCAGATATACAGGAAATAAAGTTGAGCAAAGAAACTTTAAAAAGTATTAGATTTTGCTTTATACCTCTTCCCATCTGGGTTAAATGCTAAAGCATTGATAGGCCCAAAATGCCCTTTTACGCCTCCAATTTCTTCTTGAAGTATCTACAAGGCAGCCAAACATTATAGTCAAACGGGATAATTGCAAAACAACAAATCTTCAACAACTACAGAAACATTGTTTAAACAAAATTAACCTTGTCATAGAATTTAGCTTCAAACTTCCCGGCACGATGATCAGTGGTTGTGACAGCTGATGCATCCTGACCACCTCCAAGCACCACCTAGAAGAACAAAGGCATTCAGAAGAAAGATTACAATGAGATGTAACACATAAAGCAACAAAATAGATTTCTTAGTGCTAAATGCTATCATTCAAATCAGTTGTCCTTGTCCGCACTCTTCGTATCACCCAACTACATTCAGTATCTTACAACTATTTGCACTCATTAGTATATTATAACTATGCAATTGTTGAACATAGGCATTTGACCATATAAATAATCAATTTTTTAATGCTGGAGTTGCAGTACAATACTAAACATCTTTAGGCCTTAATATATGAGTACTAGTAATTTAAAAGTTTGAAGACCCTGAAGTTGCTAGATTACTAAGAAAAGAACACCAAATTCCGAAAAAATAGAAAAAATTTTGCCAGATTTCTAACACAGCTGATAAAGGAAAGATGCAATTAGGGAAAAAGAAAATTGCTATTCAAGTTATGTAACTCAAATTTTATTCATACTTACATGGTCAAGAAGTGGGGACAATGCAACTGCATTGACTGGGCGTTCTGTAACATAGGTCTTGATAAGCGTCAATGTTCTCATGTCCCATAGCTAAAGATCACCAAACAAAAGACAGAAATACTCAAAATTAATACAGGATAAACAATCTGGAGTTTTCAGAAAACACAGAGTCAGAAATACTCAAAAACTAGAGGGGTTAATAAAAGGCATCACCTTGGCAGATTTATCCAGGGAACCAGTAAGGAAGTGTGAACCATCTGCAGATTTTGCAAGTGATGTTATTGCCTTTTTGTGGCCAGATTCCTTGTCAGCCTCCATAAGCAGTTTTCCAGTCTACAAGATCGATAGGAAAATCCATCCAAAAGATCAGACTCTTTCCAGTAAATCGACAAAACTAATAAAGAAAAATGCAGAAGGCTAGTGAAGAAGGATAATCCAGAAATAAAAACAGATACAATTTGAAGAATATCAAGAAAGAAGCCAGTAGCATCTATTACATCAGAACTTTTTCAATGTTGAAGCCAAACAGATTAGTTGTGCGACATTGTAGAGAGAAAATAACCTTCCCCACCCCCCTACCACCAAAAAAATAAAAACTATCCACATCAAACAGCAAATTACCTCAGAATCCCATATACGAATCACAGCATCTTCTCCAGCACTGATGATAGTCCTATTGAGGGGCCCCCAAATAGCTCTGTTAATTCTTCCTTGAGGGCCCTTCATGACAAGCACCGATTCCCCAGTCTCTGTACAATTATGCCATAACGTAATAGACTGAGTTTAGACATCAAGAACATTAACAAACCATATGCTTGCAATCAATATTCAAACCATAGTAGCGAAAGAGCGCAACTAAACTTCAATGCCAGACAGTTGCAAGTAAATTACACATTGTGATTCTACTCTAAAGCCAATATACTTTTTAACTTTTCCTCTAAACAAGGACTGCCTAATTCTTTACTATGAACAAAAGAATTACCTTAGACCTAATATCCCAATTAATGAAGCATTTTTATGAAACCCACCCATATCAAAAAGTGCAAAATATTTTCTCTTCCAATATTTAATCCTCCACATGGCAACTAAATTAAAAAAAAAAAACTCTCAACATTGAAAACTTCCACCTATAAATGCTAATCCAAATTTAACAAATAGGAGTTGTAATCACTTAAAAAGCACGTTAAGGAAAAAGATAGAAACTTTAAACTTACGTTCAGTTGGGTCTCTAGCAATGCGTTTAACATGAATGGCAGAAGTCAATTCCATGAAAGGATCCGTAGTAATCACAGCAAGCTTATCCCCAACGGCGAAATCCACCGACCTCGCCGGCGAATCAAAATTAAATGTAAACAATTGAGTCCCCGTCTGAACGTTCCACAGCTTCGCCGTTTGATCAGCACTTCCACTAATAAGCCTCGTCGAATCCCCTAAAAGTTTGAGAAAAAAACTTATCAACTTAAATTCTAACAAAGGTTTAAAACTTTAATTAAAAAAAAAGATTAAAGAACAACATTAGGGACTTACTCGAGACATCGCAAGACCAAACAGCGCCGTTGTGGCCGCGGTAAGTGCCAAGACGCTCGCCGTTGTCGGCAAACCAAACGGTGGGCGTGTGGTCCTTGGCGCACGAAAACAAAAGATCGCCGTCTCTATTGTACTTGAGAAACGTCAATGGCCTTTCGTGGCCTTTCATCAAAATCGGCCTCATCTTGTTTCTTCTTCCTCGCAAATAACAAGCAAAAATCGCCGAGCTTTTGTTTCCTTCACACTCCTTATAATTAGGGTTTTGCGGTAGCTGCTCACTTCTGTAGGCTCTCTTTGCTTACGAGGATCTCAGTTTTAGGATCTGGCGCGGAGGCCAGGAGAGTTCTTAAATAGGCTTGTTAATAGTCCAGAAAACTTTCACTAATATCGGCCCGAATATTCACACTGGACTAGCCCATTTGAGGCCCAACATTCCCCATTAGAGGGCTTATGCTTGATGATGGCCCACTTTGGGCCCATCAATATGATATTGGTCCCATTTGGTGAATCGTAGGCCCAAATTTTAATTAACCTTTGGCCCATGGCTGCCAATTTAATTTAAATAAGTACGAAAAATGTCAGCATATCTCATTTTTTAAAATTTTTAAAATTATTTTAAAATTTGAAATTTAATGTCAACTGTAAATATTATATATATTATAATGACACATGTATAATTAGAAATCACTATATTTATATTAATGAGTTATGACTTTTGAGTAATGTCATTAAAAAAAATGTTAAAAAAGTGTGTCAAAAACTTGTTAAGATAATATTTTATAAAAAAAAAATAGAATGAATATACTGCATTTTTTTGAATTTTATAATAATAGTTTATTAAATAAAAATTTATTTTAAAATAAAATTTCAATTAAGTGTTTTAAAATAAATAGATAAGATCCTTCAATCTCATATCATATAGATATAGAAATTCCATAAAACTTATAAACATCGGTTTTACGCATTTTATTATCTAAGGTTTTGAAAAAAAATAATGAATTCGTGATAAAACAATGTACGAATGAATTGAATATAACTCGATTTACGTCAAGCATTTATAAAGAAAAAGCAGAGGATTAAGAAGTCAAAAGTAAAAGATAAGCTCAACATGTCTTATCATAGTCTATTTATTTATCTAACAAAGGCATTCTAAAGTATTATCTGATAATCAACATATGACTTTGTCTAGTGCATGTAGCCTTCAAGCTTTGTTTGTTTCACCTTTTCTTTTTCTTTCATTTTATTAAATACCAATGCAAGTTTTCTTCACATGCGTATGAATTCCATCCAAACAATTGGGTTAAAGTCAACATGATTGGTGAAAATCCAAGTCAGCATCTTTTTAATAAGTTCAATGCATATTTTATAATTTAATAGCTTATAATATTCGACTTAATTAAATATAATTATAATATCTTATCATCGAGTATAATTTTAACAATATTTAGATAAGATTTGAGTAATCATTGTAAAGTACATTTTACTCAAATTCAATTATAAACAGTAAATTTTAATTTTACATATTTATTCATAAATTATTTGATAATTAATGTGATACTTTATTAAAATTTATTAATTATTTTAAATTTGATTTTAAGTTTTAGTTTAATTTTTTATGAATTAATTTTAACTTTTTAATTTAATTTACATCAACAATATAAATAAAAATTAATTTTAAAAGTTTTGTTATTTCAAGTTTGAGTTTGTTTTAATAAATATTAGTAATCAGGTTCATGTGTTAAATTTTAATTTTTAATTAAATTCAAGTAATAAATGAATAGCTAAATTTTAATTAGATTCGGATAATTCAAAATTAATTATTATTTTATGCTGTTGTCATTTTTAACTCTTATATTTTAATTTAAAATTATGTCAATTGATATTAAATTTTAATCTTTTGAAAAAAAAAGATAAAAAAAAAACTCATGAGAGCTTAAATGCATGGGATAGCACAGCTAAAAGACAAATTTAGCTGACGTGGCAATTGCTGACTGGAACAACCAACAGCGACAATTGTTTTGTTCCCTCGAATCTTATCCGAAACCCAATCGAACGTCACGTGATGCCACTGAAGGCTGCAAATTCCCAAAACTAGTCGAAATGGGGTCCACTTAATCGTCTAGATGGAAAGCTTGCCACGTATGATCAACGTAATCATCAGTTCCGTACCCACGGGCTTAGCCTTCAAAAACGCTTCGAAATTAGGAAAACCACGCGGCCCCCACCGGCCTTTTGGGCCCACCCCACTTCCTATTTTTATGCTTCTTTCTTAATCCGACGCCGTCGGCGGCCCCACTTTCTTACTCACCAGTACATTATGAATTAATTTAATAATATTTTATTAAAATCTGAATTTAGTTATTTATTTAGTTAAAATTGACGTAATTACTCCCTTCAAAAATTGATTCAACTTGAATTTAATAATAAAAAATAAATTTTAATTATTTTTCTATTTGTAATTAATCAATCTATTTAATATAATTATTTTTTAATCTTTATTTAAGCATTTAAAAAAAAAAATTAAATAATTTTATGAAATAAATTATTAATGATTAAAAAAAAACTTCTTTATGACAAATTCGTACACGAAACTAATAAATAATATGTAATTAGATTTTTTGACATTATTTGACTTATTAAAGTAAAATTAAGATATTTTATAAATAAATTCGAGTGAAGTATGGATAATAATTTTAAAGTATTTATTAATTGAATTTGATTATATATAATTATTTTTTAATATATATCAAAATATTAATTATAAAAATAATATATATTAATATAATAAAAATAATTACACAAATTATAAACTAAATTACTTAGATGTTGTTATCATGTTAACACGATAGATTATGTCAAAACACGTAAGCAATCTTCGTCTTTTGTGATTATTAACATAATCACAAAATCTTATAGATTTGATTTATAATTAATATATTTGTTATTATTATATTAATTATATATAAAAATATTATTCACCAATTATTTGGTCAATCGTTTAAAAAGACTCAACATTCTTTTAAAGAATTTGGATTTGAACCTTCTGGCGAAAGTTAGGCTTTGATTTATATTCAGCATTAAAATATATATATATTTTAAAAAAGGTCTCACTAAATTAAAATGGGAAAGGTCTTATATTAACGTTTCCCCTTTATTTTATCCATTGGCATGGAGTGGTTTGTCTGCAAAAAGAAGACCAAAAAAGAAGAAGAGAGCTTTGATCAGGACAACCGTTTCCCGGCACTTGCAGTTGATTACGTTCCCAGTGTCAATCTCCGTAAATAAACCCAAAACCGGTGTCCGTTTAGATCCCTTTCTTTATTCAATTACCAAAACAAATTTCTTCTTCCTTTTTTTTATTTATTTTCACCTACAATTTTTTTTTCTCATCCGTGGATCTCTCTGAGGAAAAACAAGGGAACAAGAAACTGAAGATATGGGAAATGCAAACGGAAGAGAAGACGGAGCGAGCGGCGGCGTCGATGATCTCTCCGGAAGATCCAACGGCGGCGACCCGATCGTACGTGGAGCTGCCTCCGCTGCCGGAGCAGCTGTAGCTGTACGCGTGCCGTCGTCTGATTCAATGGCGAATAGTCCGCCGCAGAGCCCTAGCCGGTCTCGATCCCCTCTTTTATTCGCTCCTCAGGTTCGCATCTTTGAAAGTTCATGATCTTTCGATGACTATTGGTTTATTGTATTTGTTTATAATCTAAATTACTAAAATATACAAAAAAAGGATCATTTTGTTTTAAATAGGAAAAATTTGAGCTTTGATTGTAAATTTGAATAACTAACTGAAGAAAAATCTGTGTGTTGTGTGGACAGATAGGGGATTAAAATTTTTGAATTGTTTGATGGAATGAGACGTGGAAGATAATATTTTTGGGCTTTTGTCATAGTTTGGGCAATTTTACAACAACTGGTGAGTAGGGATGTTGGTGCTGAGGTCCTTTTTTTTTGGTTCATAGCAGTATAAGGTTTTGCATTTTGAGAACTTTGTTAGAAGTTTGGAAAGAAAAGTCACTAGCAAGTAAAAGGGTATGATTTAAAATCAATGCGTTGGTCTGATGTAATGTAACATTCTTTGATTGGATCACTTCAATGCTTTTGTTTGAGAAAGTTACTGCTCTTTGCACATGTTAGTTCTTAAGAGGGTATGTTTTAGATGTTTCAATCTTTATTATCATCTTTGAACTGATGATCAATGAGAACTAAACGCGTACGTGAACACATGGGGGAAGGCGGAAGAGTGTTAGATAAGACTAACAAAATGCCAATACCCCAAAAATGTTCAACTTTTGGAAACATGGAATGGAATCTTTTATGCTGTTGAATTCCCATTCTCTTTGGTCTTTAAATTGTTTTTTTCCCCATTAGAATGGTTGCCTTTTACATATTTGTGGTTTTCGTTTTCCCTTGTCTAGATTCTTGTGGAGCTCTAGACACTTAATCTGGGCAGTGGCCTTAAAACTGATAGCATGTGCTTGTTTTGGGTGTGTTTTCAGGCTCCTGTAGCTCCCTTACCAAGGGGTGATGGCCATTCCTTTTTCAACCAAATTTGGCGGCATGATTCTGCCGGGGTTGTTGATTGTCCATCTGAGAAAGGAATCCCTGTCATCATTACATGGAATTATGGTGGTAATGATGTGGCTGTGGAAGGTTCTTGGGACAATTGGAGATCAAGGTAGGTCGTCAGTTCCTGAGTGTTCTAGATGCTGACATTTTCATGCATAAGAAACGTTGCTATTCCTCTTTTTGTCTGAAACCCAGGTGTGGATGGCATGTAAGAGAGTTTATTATATTTTTACTTGCAGGAAGACAATGCAGAGATCTGGTAAGGACCACTCAATTCTTTTGGTCCTTCCGTCTGGCATATACCATTATAAGTTTATTATTGATGGCGAATGGAGATATACACCAGATCTGCCTTTTGTAGCTGATGAAATGGGCCATGTTTGTAATATTCTTGACGTTCATGTATGTATCTTTTTATGCCCACTAGCTTACATTTGAATTATGTAACTTTCTTTTTTACTTCCTGTAATGGTGCTTTCCTAGGCTGCTGTAGTATGATTGGCTGGGATGTAGAACTGGGAATTAATGAATTTGAAATATGTTGTTGCATAAAAAGAGAAGCTTAAGGTTTATTTTTTTGAGCACACAAGGAAGAATAGGTTCTCTCATTTTTAAAACATCTCAATAATGGTTTTCTGATTTGATCATTGGCCATAACTAAGATCTCAGTAATAAGTGTCACAATTTTGCTGCCTTCATTCTCTTAATTGTCTCACTCTTTCTTGCAGGATTATGTACCTGAAAATCTGGATAGTGTAACTGAGTTTGAGACCCCAGGATCTCCAAATTCCAGTTATGGTCAGGTACTTCCAACGGAAGAAGATTTTGCAAAGGAGCCTGTTGTGGTTCCATCCCAGCTACATCTAACCGTCCTTGGTACAGATAACCAAGATGGGGCATCATCCTCGAAGCCTCAACATGTTGTACTTAACCACCTTTTCATAGAGAAAGGATGGGCATCGCAATCTGTTGTTGCCCTGGGATTGACCCATAGGTTTGAGTCCAAATACGTGACTGTTGTACTCTATAAGCCATTGAAAAGGTAACATGTGCTTTTCCCACGCTTCACTTTGTAAAGAAATGAAAGTAACTTTCACATTTGTTTGTGAAGGTACCTCTGTTCTATAGATCCGCTTTGACACTTTAACATGCTCTTTGTTTGTTCTGTTGTACTTTAATGTTTGTTTACTATCAAATGTTTGCATACAGAAATTTTTGCCATGGCGACTGCTATGCTATTTTTGCTATGTCTGGTTTCTTACAGCTTTGGCGGTTGATGTATAAAAGCAATTAGGTAAAGCTTTATTAGACTGGCACCTTACCCAACTAGTTTATAGGAGAAGGGCAGAAAGACAACTGGAATCGAACAATAAACATATATGTCATAAGCAAGGCTCGCACACCAGCAGATGTACTCAGCTAGCAGCGAGCTTACCTTTACTTTAAGAAAGGTTTGAACCTGTCGTTGCCAAGATGTTTGTGGCATGAAAGGAAAAGAAGCTTAAGTGCAAGCTTTGTGATGTATGAATTGGTTTGATTTTCTTATAATAAAACTAGTTTGAATTTGACAACAATCCCTAGAAATGAAAGCATTGGCTGTAGCTTTTACATTAGAACGAGCTTTACCATTCTGTTGGACTAGAATGAACTGAAAATGCAAGACAGGAACCATCCAATGGTGGAGGTACCAATTGACAATGGAAATCATATGATCAAGTTGGAGTGGGTGAAAATAACCCTGCGTATTCCTACTGCATTTCAACTTTTTAATATAATCATTCTGATGAAGACACAGGCAAAATATGTTGCTTACATTTAAGAACATTGAGATATCTTCTGACAAAAACTTGTAACCATTGCATATTTGCATCAACATACACACAACATGACTGTCTCTGCTGCGCAGCCATGTGGAGTGCTTATCTATGTCAAAGCCACTTACAAAATAAATTTCATCCATTGTACATTGAGGGATAAACATATTAGAACTCTTGTACCAAAACTACAAAACCTGTTCCATGACCTAATTGTTCTCAAGAAAGAGTGGCACTCACGTGAATTTGTCTCCGAAAGCAATTGGCATTCACTTCTTGGACTTTGCTTTAAATATCGTTTCCTTGAAGTATTTGAGTTCTGATATGCTCTCTCTGATGTCATCCATGGCTCTGTGTCTCTTTTCTTTGGGAGGGGCTTTCTTTTGATCTGCATATGCAATGAGATTAGCATATGATTCAGCAAAAAAAAGATAGGATACACCATTACAATCTAAACACCATCTGCTGTTGGGTGTTTGTGTGAATGCACTTGCACATGTACATGCAAATAAAAGAATGATAAAGCGTGATAAGAAGCACACACATAATAACCTCAGCAATCTAGAAATCAGGCCAACAATTTGATTTCATCTAACGATTCAATGAAATTGTTAATTCAAAATTTTCAAAGATATCAAATAGAAAATTTTCAGCAACGAACTGGACTTACCTCTAGGATACCAGCGAATGCAAAGAGCCCTCACACTGCTCACATCAACGACTATATGAGAGAAAAGGCTAGCCAACTCTGGCATATATTTCTGCCAGGAAAAGACTAGTTAGGAGATGACACAAAACTTAAACAAGAAACTAAAAATACCATTGAATATAAAGCAGGTTCCTAGACTGTGGCACAATTCATAATTTGTGACACAACTTCAAGAAATAGTACCAAAAGATCAAAAGGATACCAACAATAAAATTGGTTTGGCTAATCAATTGCCACAAAAGAAAACCAACTCCACATTCATCTTCTAGCACATGCAACTACCCTTTTCAGAACAGACCAGAAAATTATTAAAGCAACAATAAGGGGAAGTTTATGCAAGAACCACACGACTTATCCATTCAAAATAGCACTGGAATAGATAACACAATAAAATCTGACCCTTTTCCATTCTATACATTATCGGATGCCCCACTTATCAGCTAAGCACCCCCAAACCCAATTCTGTATCATCAGGTTAAAGAAAAATGGTGTTTGTTTCAATTCTCAACAGAAAGCAAGTATGCTAAACTCAAAGGTGATAGTGGCTTGACTTATTACCTTTAAAAAGAGAAAATCCATATAAACCGAATTTCCAGCTATGTGAGGTGTGTATGTCCCAACATTACTCTTCACAAATTCTATGACCTGCAGCATCAAAAACCATAATATCAAAATTTTGAAAAAGAAAAGTTTCTTCCAACTAGAATTCTAAAATCTCTAGTTAAAGCATACCAATTAGTGAGATTCTTACTGAACTAAAAAAATCAAAGCCTACCACTTGATGATATTCTTACTGACCTGCTTTTCAGCTTCTCTTTCGCTAATGGTACTCTGGAGCACTTTCTTCGTCAATCCTGAAACAATGTAAGGTTGTTAGTCATGGTTCCTGCTCTCTTGTTCCATAAAAAAGCAGATAGATGCTGATGATAATGGAAATTTACACATCAGAACACAATTTTTCTTGAGCCACATACCACTAGCTGCGTGATGTTCTTGACACCATTCCCCCATTCTATCTAAACACTCTTTAGATTGGTGGATAACCAGATCAGGACCCTTAAGGAGAAAATATTCAAAATCAGAACATAGGACTTCCAAATTTGCAACGGTGTCTTTTTTGCTTCGACAAAATCCATGTGCATCATAAAGTGGAAATGGCAGTACAAAACTGAAAACTTGTTGACTACTTTCTAACTATCAAAACCATACTTTCTTAAAAAAAAACTGCTGTTTCCTAACAAAATGCTTGTGAGAAGAAAACAAACAAAAGCAGAGTAATAAAATGATGATTGTCTTATTCTGAATCACGGATACAACCAAAGGAAAGAATAAATAAATAAATACCTCCAATGTTTTGGTGAGATTGCCATCTGTAATTATACAAGCTATCTCCAGAATTCTATCAACCTCAATATTCAAACCTGCATAGCAACAAATGTAAACAAACATGAAATGAAATGCATACCATTTTTATGCCGCATTATCACCATTTTAGAGTTAATAGATACTTATCAATAGCCATTTCCTTGAGCTTACCGGTCATTTCCAAGTCGATCCATACAAGAGGTAACTTGTAGTTCTGAGAAAGCAATGCCGAAATCGGTTCACTCTGTTTCTCCTTTTTGACAACTGCGGCATCAGTTGAGCCCTTTCCATTGCTTTTCTTCTTACCTGTCGCAAAGGCTAAATGTCATTCACTAATTAAACACTTCAAATTACAGTCCCCAGCTTAAAACCTTTTGGTTCATCACAATTATTTTTTCTTTTATAAAAAGCCCCAAATTAGATATTAAAAGCTTCCATGCCAACACTACAAAGCTTGCACAGAGTCCACAAAAAAGTAACTCCAAAATAATTCAAAGAAATAAAATTTCCTTTCTAAGTGCTTAGAAACCCTAACCCAAAGGCAGTAACTGGGTGATTTGAAAAGTACATACCCTGACCCGAAGTTTTGGCACCGGAAGAGGAGGTGGCGGAGGCAGACGGGATATGGCGGTCGTCGACGTCAATATCCAGCACCGAGAACGCATTGGAGAGGCAGTCCATTTCTCTTCCTTAAGCTTTTGGGCGCAATTTGAAACCCGTCTCCCGATTTTTCAAAGCGATTTCCAACGCTGCTCTGGCTTCTCAGTTGAGCCCGGAAGAAGAAGCAGGGTGGGTTTAATCCAAAGCTCCTTCCTTTATTTGACTAACATGTATATATACTATCCTCCAAAAGAATAAACAATCCTTCCATACAAAGCATACACTTTTGGATTACCTCCATTGTCGTGTTTTTTACATAGTTGGGTAAGTTTCGATATAATTTTTAGGAATTTATATTTTTAATTCAAAAAATATATTTATTAAATAAAAAAAATTATTTATAAATTTAAAATTTATCTTTATTCTTTTTGATACGAAATATCTAATATTAATCACTTTAACTTGAAATCGAAGTTTTTAGACACGATTACTATTGAAAGGAATTTTTTTAAAAAAAGTATAATTTGTATTTTCTATTGTTATTATCATTAGGGAAAAATTTATAATCTATAAAAAATTTATTAGTTAACTCAATTTTTGTATTTTTTATTATTTTAATTATTAAGTTAAATATTAGCTTATAGAAATGAGAAAAAAATTTAATATATAAGAATATAAATAGCATAACATATATTAAAATATATATTTTTCTTTCCCTACAAAATCAATCTTAAACATTTATCTCAATTTTTATTAGAAAAAAGAGAAAAAAACAGTTCATTGAATCTTTAAAATCCCACACCAAGTTTTTCCTTTTTTTTTTCTTTTTTAATTAATAGAATTATTATTAAAGTTTTTGTTGATTTTTAATACAAAAATGGAATATTTATTTTATTTTTTAAAAAAATAATACTTAAAATAATTTATAAAATTTTGAAAGATTGAAGTTTGCTATTTTTAGAAAGGAAAAATATTTTCTTTTGTATTAAAGTAAAAAAAGAAAGGAAGGAATCTATAAAGAAACAGAACAGGTCCGTCACTTAAGAACTGACCTGACCTGAACTTAACCTAGTACCGGTAAAGAAGTCCCAAGTACAAAAAGGATGGCGGCTTCTCCAAGTAACGAACTTTCTGAGAATAAAACCCTAGATTCTGACACCCAAAATCCCCAAGCCAATGGCCACGATTCAACCGAGGATCCCCAACCTCTCGACGAAGCAATCCATCTGTCCAATTCCCAATCAACGGCTGACACCAACCCAGGAGAGAAGCGCAAGCGGGAGGACCAGGACCCGCCCCTCCACCCTTTGTGGAAAACCAGCCTTTGCTCTTATTTCAGGCGGCAAGATGGGTCCTGCAGCCATGGCAGCACGTGCAGGTACGCTCACGGCGAGGAAGAGCTCCGGCCGCGGCCGGATAAAACGTGGGACCCGACTTCGGAGCGGGCGAAGAAGGCGATGAAGGGGGAGAATGGGGAGAAGCTCGCAGTGAACGAAGAGGAGGAGGAGGAGGAGGTTATGATGACGGAGATGGTTATGGATGATGAGGACGGTGAGGGTGGTGAAGAGGGTGGAGACCCTCAATTGAGTAAATGCTTGGTGCATTTGCCAAGGAAGTGGAGTTCGGATAATTTGAGGAAGTTTCTTAGTGAACAAGTAAGTGTATTATTGGTTTAAGTCTTCATACACTGTGTTGAATTTAGTCTTTTACTCTCAAACAAAAATACAAAGAAATTAGTAGGAAGAAAGCATCATCAAATGGCGGAATTTGACCTTAGCGTACTATTAATACTACATGCTATCAAAGCTTAGAAGAGAATAAACCAAGAATAGATAAGGATTGGATGAGGAGTCTATGTTTCCCTTGTTGATTTCGAAAGCATGCATCCAGTGGTGCCATATATATATATATATATATAGTTATATAGTTATATAGTGTTAGTGTTGGGCCTATGCACGTGATGTTGTTCATAATGGAAGAAAGCCATTCTCTATGTTGTTAAACTTTTGATGATATTCTGGATTAATATTGCAGTCCTTCGGAAACAAACATTTACCCGAATATCATAAACCTGGCTTGTCATTGC